TTCTCTTCTCCGCCCCTTCTGCAGGGGAATTGTTTTTCAGCTCCCCTTCTGCAGGGGCTTTCTGGCATAACAAACTTCCACAAAAAACAAGGTTTACTTGGTGCACCTCTTCTGCAGAGGCTAGCCCTCTATGAATGTGTTGCATGGATAACAAACTTCCACAAAAAACAAGGTTTACTTGGTGCACCTCTTCTGCAGAGGCTAGCCCTCTAGCAAGGATGAATGTGTTGCATGGATCCCTCTGATGTCTTTACGTGTGAGACAACCCCAAGCTATAGACAGCATGCCAAACTAATCATGCTTATTCTTCAGCATCTTCCAAACTTTGTGCTTGGCCAGGAGCATGATCTCCTCTTCTTTGGCCGTGTCCCCTGGCCTCAAATGAAGATCGTGTAGGACTTTGGATGCCAAGGCATCCAATTCCACCTTGTGGATTTCCTTGTGCCCAAAAGCAAAAATCTGGCCCACGCACTTCCCATTGTTAAACTTCTTAACACCAAACTTGTTGCCATTCTTGTAGTACTCCTTTCTGTAGTGGAAAGGGCTCTTCTTGCCATGCTCTGGCTGCTTCTTTGTCTTTAGCTTTGGGCTTTTGCGGCTTGAGGAGCTCGAGGAGCATGGCTCTTTTTCCTCTGCGCCTTGGCCTTGCTGCTTGCTTGCAGGCACTGGGGTGTGTGGTGCTTCACTTTGGAGATCTTCTTGCAAACCCTGAGCAGGGCATGGCTCATCCTCAGCAAGCCCTACCTCACCCTCAGCTGGCCCTGCCTCACTGGTCAGCATGGCAATGAGGGACTTCACTTTGGCAAGTGAACCAGATGATGACTTGGCAACCAGCTGCTGGCACTTCTCTGTGTTGTTCTTTGCCCTCCTCAAGTGGTAGAGCATGGTAGAGATCCTGTCAAACCTGCTTCCAGCCCAGAGTAGATTCTTCAAGCTGGTTTTGTTCAACTCAGGTTCCAAGCTCACCGCCTTCAGGATTGAAGCTCTCACCTGGGTCAGCAGAAGCTGGCCTTCAGGCTGAACCAGCAGCAAGCTCTTCAGCAAGTCAAAGTGCATGGCTAAACTTTCTCCATCTGCAGCCTGTGCTTTGCTGATGGTCTCATAGGCACCCAAGTCCTGCCAGCTTTTATTGCTGTGCAGGGCCATGTCCAGCACTGACTGGTCCAGTGGTGTCACCTGCTCCCTCTTTCCCATTGCGCCTATGTGTTGACTGCAAGATCTAGGCCAAACGCGGCAACTGCAGTTTTCAAACATCTGCAATATGATCTGATGCAGTCTGCCTCTTGGTCGCTGCCGATTTCTGAGGCAAGCAGCATGCCCTTTGATCTGTCCCCTTCTGCGAGCTGCAACCATTTCATAAACCTGCATTCATTCTAAGAAACCTTACAATCGAAAAAAAGATTGATATTTTGGTTGAAAAACACTTCAAAAAATATCAATCTTTTTTGGAGAAAATATCAATCTTTTCCTTCAAAAAAAATAGCTTTAAAAAACACTTAAAAACACCTAAAATATGCGAATATCAATCTTCATTTTCATGGATTGATTTTTTTTGATCCTGGATCCTCTGGGTTGGGGTTGGGCTTTGGCCGCCACCTCTTGCTGGAGCCACGCCTTGCCCTTCTCCGACAAACCAGCACGAAGCGTGGCCACGACAAGCTCTGCCTCATCCTGCCATGTCCATGAGATGAGGCAACCGTCCGTAAGAAACACGACATGGTGCCATCTGGTGCTTACATGTCGGCCATCCGCAAAACATCATCAACAACAATAGCGACAAACACCGACTACGACCAGGTCGAGACACCGGCGTCGGCGAAGCCGCAGAACTGCTTGGCTCCTGGCAACAATCAGCACAGCAAAACAAACACCAGCAAAACTCTCCAGATTTCGATCCTGGCCTGTGGGCACAGCTTCTCCACGACAGCGGCAGCTAGGTCTGCCTTGGTCACGTTGCTGCCTGCGAAGTTGAAGTTGGGCTTTGGCCGCCACCTCTTGCTGGAGCCACGCCTTGCCCTTCTCCGCCAAACCAGCACGAAGCGTGGCCACGACAAGCTCTGCCTCATCCTGCCATGTCCATGAGATGAGGCAACCGTCCGTAAGAAACACGACATGGTGCCATCTGGTGCTTACATTTCGGCCATCCGCAAAACATCATCAAAAACAATAGCGTCAAACACCGACTACGACCAAGTCGAGACACCGGCGTCGGCGAAGCCGCAGAACACAATCAGCACAGCAAAAAAAAACTCTCCAGATTTCGATCCTGGCCTGTGGGCACAGCTTCTCCACGACAGCGGCAGCTAGGTCTGCCTTGGTCACGTTGCTGCCTGCGACCCATTGGCGCACATCCAGCTGTCGGGCGAGTGCGCGAAGTTGGGGTTGGGCTTTGGCCGCCACCTCTTGCTGGAGCCACGCCTTGCCCTTCTCCGACAAACCAGCACGAAGCGTGGCCACGACAAGCTCTGCCTCATCCTGCCATGTCCATGAGATGAGGCAACCGTCCGTAAGAAACACGATGGTGCCATCTGGTGCTTACATTTCGGCCATCCGCAAAACAACATCAAACAATAGCGTCAAACACTCGACTACGACCAAGTCGAGACACCGGCGTCGGCGAAGCCGCAGAACTACAATCAGTACAGCAAAACAAACACAGCAAACTCTCCAGATTTCGATCCTGGCCTGTGGGCACAGCTTCTCCACGACAGCGGCAGCTAGGTCTGCCTTGGTCACGTTGCTGCCTGCGACCCATTGGCGCACATCCAGCTGTCGGGCGAGTGCGCGAAGTTGGGGTTGGGCTTTGGCCGCCACCTCTTGCTGCAGCCACGCTTTGCCATGCTGGGCCGCGCCAGCCTGAAGCCTAGCTACTTCGAGCTCCATGACTTCTGTTTGAGCCAAATCTCGATGATCATCCGCAAGATGCCACATAACAACCAGCCGTGTGCGCCATGCCCGTAAATAAGCCGTGTGCGCCATGCTCCCCGCCACTACTTTCTTATGCTCTGCGCAAACTGGTCGGTGCAAGTTGGTCTGCGCAAGTTGCTCTACGCAAGTTGCACTGTGCAAGTTGCTCTGCGCAAGTTGCTCCGCGCAAGTTGCTCCGGCAAGTTGGTCCCTGCAAGTGGCTCCCTGCAAGTTGCTCTGTGCAAATTGCGCTCCCTGCAAGTTGCTCTGTGCAAGCTGCTCTGTGCAAGTTGCTCTGTGCAAGTTGCTCTGCGTAAGTTGCTCTGCGCAAGTTGCTCTAGGCAAGGCGCTCTGCGCAAACTGGTCGGTGCAAGTTGGTCTGCGCAAGTTGCTCTGCGCAACTTGCTCTGCGCAAGTTGCTCTGCGCAAGTTGCTTAAAATGCAAGTTGCATCTTGCGACGCCCGCCCGCGGACCAGGGAGGAATCGAACCCGCGACCCGCGGTTCCGGGAGCAGGCGCGCGAACCACGAGACAACTCCCGAGGACCAGTTCGAACAACAAAAGTCGCAAAAACCTCGAGTTTTTGCACCTCGACCACGCCGATTCCCGCAGAGGGTCGCGCGAGCACCGCAGAACATCGCAAAAAACCTCGTTTTTGCACCTCGACCACGCCGATCCCCGCAGAGGGTCGCGAAACTTTAGAAATTACACAAAAACCATGGGTTTTTGCACCTCGACCGCCGATCCCCGCAGAGGGTCGCGCGAACATTTAGAAATCACAAAACCATGGGTTTTTGCAACCCTCCTGGGTTTTTCGCACACGGGTCGACCACGCCGATCCCCGCAGAGGGTCGCGCGGGAACTTTAGAAATCGCAAAAAACCATGGGTTTTTGCACCTCGACCACGCCGATCCCCGCAGAGGGTCGATTTTCGTGTAGTGTCGTCGGCACTACCCCGCCGCCCTAAGAAGAGATTTTAACTCCTCGCAAGTCAATTGCACTTGACTCCTTGCACTTGCAACTTGCACTCGACTCCTTACACTTGCAACTTGCACTTGACTCCATGCACTTGCAACTTGCACTTGACTCCATGCACTTGCAACTTGCACCTGACTCCTTGCACTTGCACTTGCAACTTGCACTTGACTCCTTGCACTTGCAACTTGCACTTGACTCCATGCGCAGCTCGCAATGACTCTCATGACTCCTTGCAATGACTCCTTGCAATGACTGACTCCTTGCAATGACTCCTTGCAATGACTCCTTGCAATGACTCCTTGCAATGACTCCTTGCAATGATTCCTTGCAATGACTCCTTGCAATGACTCCTTGCAATGACTCCTTGCAATGACTCCTTGCAATGACTCCTTGCAATGACTCCTTGCAATGACTCCTTGCAATGACTCCTTGCAATGACTCCTTGCAATGACTCCTTGCAATGACTCCTTGCATTGACTTTCATGATGATGATTCCTTGCAATGACACCTTGTAATGACTCTCATGAGAACAACTCAAGTGAACCCAGCGCAAGAACCCTTCGCCATGCTTTCGGGAAAAGTGTCAAGCCTCCTCCGTGGTTTGTCATCATCTTGCATTGCTCTCCACAAGAATACAACAGTGACTTGGCCTGAATGTGGGGTACACCACAACACAATGTATTTTATTTGGTCTACTCTGAAACATGAAATTTGCTTGGAGGAGATTCAAGTATTCCCCAAAGCAGAAGTGTCAAGCTTCGCCCCCTTGAAACTGCCCAAGCGCTGCAAACTCAAATGGCAAGGAATGTCCTGAAAGGGGCAACCCCCCCCCCCGGCAAGCGCTTCCACCCCCGTCCCCTGTCCGTCCCCACCCCATGGATCGACCCAATACCCAGGGTTTGGCAAAAGCTGAAAAGGCCAGACCCTGGCTCCCTTTCAAGAGAAACCAAAAGGAGGTCGTGTAAGCAACGGCAGTTTAAACAGGGTGTCTCACCAAGGGTCTGAGTCGTGGGTACAGCATGGACCCCAAGTTGTCCACCATGCGGGAAATTTATGGTCCCTTTTCGGGGAAACCGGGGCCCACCCATGCGTTCCCGCCCACGACTTCCCCTTGCCTCTTGCTGCTTCTCCTGTGGGATGTCCTGCCAGCCCACCTGGCAATCGGGGTGGCCATTGCTTGCTGGATGGCTGTAGGGCATCTCTGAGGGTGGATCAATGAAGGGTGCTCGAAGGGAAGGAATGCGGGGAACGCTGGGAAACCTTGGGGCTCAACTGGCCTTGTACCTACCCCCCCGGATGACAGGGAGACCCCAAGGAAACCACCAATTGTCTTGGCATGGATCCGACCCCCGAAAAGTCGCCTTTTTGCTGGCAAGGGAACAACATGAAACAAAACAAGGCAAAAGTTAAAGCAGGCAATCTAAGGCAATGTCATTTGTGCCCTTTGTTTGGTTGGCTGTCTTCAAAAAAAACCCAGAACGACACCACGTATTTTGTTGAGGTTCTTCTGTTCTGAACACACTCATTGCTGGTCGAAATCTAGTCATTTGGACTCCTGCAACAAGTTGCTTGGGAAAATGAAGGACACCCAAACGGGCAACAAAACAGCGCAGGGTAGCTAACGTCTGGCAATGAAGTAATGTTCACTGAAAAGGACATTATGGGCATCCCTGACTCTACTTTGGAGTCCAACCTACTTAAGCTGTTTGTAACCACGCTTACAAGGGCGATAACTGGAGTTGGTGCCCTTATACTTCTAACCTACTTAAGTGGACCGAACACACAAGGGGGTCCCCACCGCCCTTCAGGGACCTCCCCTGTTTCCTTGTTCCCAGCAGAAGGTCTTTTGAAGCTCCCTGCCTGCCGAGGCGGTGCTGGGCAATTCTCACCTCCCGGTGTCACCACCTCGAATCTGCAAAGTCGCGAGTGGGGCCTCCTTGTTGGGGGAGACTTTCCTACCTTGCAATCGCTCCGTTGGGGGATAAGCTGAAATTTGATCATGTCAAGTTGTCGAGGTCATCAATCCACCACCCCCAAACCCTATACCACTATATAGCCACTAGCCACTGTTTAATCTCTTTCCACAGGGGGGTAGTGGTTTGGTTGAATCATTTTAGAAAAGGTCTACCCGACCCTCAGGTCCACATTGCTTTGAAACTTGACTCGGGTCTCCTGGAACTCAAACCCTGGGTCCATGGCAGTGGGAGGTTCTGGCAAGAGAAATGGCTCTGCAAACCATGGAGAAAAGCTCAAAAGGCAAGCTGAAATTGTCAGATTGGCTGGTGCCAAGAAGATGTGTGCCGAAAATAGCCACACTGCCCTTGGAAGCACAACGCGTTGGAGAGCGCGAGGCTGATGGAAAAACCCTCCTTGGCAAGACCAACCGCGCAAAGTATCGCGACCCAAAAGTGACGTGCTGCCTCACCCATGGCTTGTGGGTTTTAGCAAAGGAGACTGCTTCGCACAAATGGCTGGCCCGGAGTGCGATCAAGCCAAAAACAACACAGCAAAAGACAGCAACACAAACAAAAACAACACACAACAAACAAAAACAACACACAACAAACAAAAACAACACACAACAACAAAAAACAGCAAAAACAAAACAAAACAACACAAACAAAACAAAAAGAGCAACACAATCAAAATGAAGCAAGTCAAAAAACACGAATCAAAAAAGACACACTAAACACAACACAGAACACACAGAATATCCAGAACCTCACAACACAACAAACAAAAGCAACAATACAACATGGCAAAACAAAACACACAACCAAACAAAATGACAACACCTAAAGCGCAACAGACACACACCAAAAACAGAACATGGCCCAAAAAAACGCAACAGAACAAACAGAACACGAGACGACAACACGAAACAATTCAAACACAAAGACAGAACTAGACACAGACGCACACACACACAAAGCAAAACATTGTTTTGGTTCTTGAAATCAAGCCAGATTGGATACAAATTGGCCTGGAGGCTGGGCTGATTCCTGCCAAGGCTCCAAGAAGAACAAATGCTACAAAGATAGGACAGACGGTCAAGGGAGCTATGCGAAGCTTGCATAGACCGTGAATGGCCCTCAAGGCCTCAAAGGTGAAACCCGGCTGGACCCAAAATGGCCCAAATGCGGCCAGAAGGGGTGAAGATCCTTCGTTGACCTGGTCGATGACCAGGCCGACGCCGTCTGTAAGGTCCACATCAATGCCCAGTCTCGATTTGAGCAAAACATTGAAGAAAAAACACAACGAATGCAAACAACACAAGGCACGCAAAGACAAAACAAAGCGAACACACCAGAGCAACAAAACACGCCGAAGCAAACCATCAAAGCACAAACCAAACAACTCGAAGCATGGCAAAACAAGACTCAAATAACACACAACAGGCAACAAATCGGAACGAAACAAACCACAACAAAAACACACAAACACATGCAACACAATAACAAAACAAGCAACACACAACACAACACGAATAAACACGACACAACGCAAAAGAAACAACACATACCAACGTGAAACACAACACAACAAAAGCAACATGCAATCAAACATAACAGCACAACACAAAACACAACGAAACGAAAACAAGCCAAATAACATGAAAGGAGGAAAAAACAACACAAAGCCAACGGCCCCCCCCCAAACTCATCACTCATCGCCTGGGTGGTGAGCTTGTGGCCCACCAGCAGGCCCATGCCCTCCGACTGCGGCCGGCCCTACGGCTCATCCGGCCGCGCTTCGCTTTTTATAGCCCCGGCGTTGGATGGATCATCCTTTTCTTCGCGTTGCGACCCCCCGAAACGTGTCAATTGTCCGAGGTTGGGGTGCCTTTTCGTTCGGATGCTGTCCGTGAGCACGGGTTGAATTCTTATGTCAGATGCGTTTGTGGGTTTATTTCTCCTTTTGGATGCTATCCATGGGCTTGGGGGTGTTCTTTCTCGTATAGATGTTGTCCGTGGGCCGGGGTTTTGCTGCTATGCTCATGTCCTTGGGCTTGGGGTTCTATTGCATCAAACGAACGGCTATCCTACTCTGGAAGTCCAACACATAAGACCCCCATACCGTTCGTCCCGTCTCCCCGCCCACCAAGAGTGTGACAGGGGCTCCCTACATCTCCCCCGACACCATGCGAGGACACTTCTGAAAATGCACCTTTCCAAGTAGGTGTCTACAAGCCAAGAAGGAACCGGTGAGTCTGTGTTTGAGGGCTGAAGAGACACCCAACCTCGAAATGTCCACCAGCCCCCACCCCAAGACCTCCCCAAAACTTCCGCTTCCGCCTTCGGGGCGAAGAAAAAACCAAAGGCCACGTGGATTCCACAAATGTAATCATTGGCCCCCTTCACTCTTTCGCGGTGGGGGTCCCCTGTTGAATTACTTGCTAGGTCCCTGATTGAAACATCCAAAGCAAAAAGCGGGCACAGGGGCGAGACCCTGCTTGCAGGCCACCCTCCCCCCGAATTTTGCCGTTGCAAGCGCAGTGGGTGCTTCCCCAAAAGTAGATTTGGATTGACTCTACATTGGGTCCCCCCCCAGGTTGTCATTGGATTTAGGCTTTCCAGGTCAGATGTATGGGCGAGGAATCTCCCAACAAGTGAACCTTCCAGAACGACCCGTCCTCCGCAAAGCAGGTTGGACCCTGCAACATGTTCAACCCCCAGCCGTCTTGGCATCTCTTGTAGTCTCAGGCTTGCTATTCCCGCGGCCTCCAGCTGACTTCGGGGGTAGATGCCTGCCAGGCGTTCAAAAGCCGAATCCCATCTGGCACAAGGAGCATGGATTGATTTTGAACAATCTCAAGAAAAGCACCCAAAAAGCAATCCTAGGAAGATTACCAACCCACCAAGCATGGAAACCACTTGACTGGAGGGTCCCTTTAAACGAGAAAAAGGCCTTTCAGGAACCCGTGAGGTTCCATGGTAGGGAGCATACCTTATATCCCACTCTTGTGATGTCTTCGTTGTTTTCAGGTTCGGAGCTTCCCCAAAAAAGGACGGGGTGAGGTGTCTTTCGGATAAGCACAGCTGCCCAAAGGAGCCAAAAATAAAGGATTAACCTTTTGGGAAAGGTCAACAGGTCGGCTTTGGGCAAGTGAGTAGGCCAGATAGATTTCATAGAACCATGCGCAGTTTGTACTTTTGGCGGAGTGGGGGGGGGGGGGAGGTTATATAAGGTTGCCGAGAAAATCGCGGTACAATCCCTGCCTTGTGGGACCCGTACATGACTGAAGATCGCCCTTGAGATCTAGTCAGAACGAAACCACGGGATGGAAAGGTTTTCGGAACCCTTGAAATGTTTGCTGTCTTCTATGTTGAATTCCCTTTTGTAAAACACCAGAAAACATACAGGGATGCCATCAAAAAGGGGATTCCCACTTTGAGAAACACGTGCTTGAGGGAAAGCCCTCATGAAACCGCTGGTTGTTTAATTTGGAGTCGGGAATGGATTCATTGCCCCTGCTCACTTGGGACGTTGCCATCTGGAAAACAAACGATGAGATGTGTGTTTTTACAGAGCGTCCGCATCATAGGACATAAGGTGTACGGCGAAGCAATGAAACCTTTGTTTGATGGACAGATGTGTGGGTGCTCCAGTTCAGGAGAAATCCCACCTACTTTTCAGACAAGCAAGGCGGGAACCATTCAATGTGTGTGTATTTGTTTTCCGCTCAGCGAGTTTTTGTGCGTCACAAGCACGACAACTCTGGCGTGCAACTTTGAATCATCTGTTTGGCGGCCGCTCTTTTTGTCCGCAGAAACTGGTTTGCCACAGAAGGCCCTACGCTGGCAAGATCAAATTTGCAGCAGCGAGTATATTCCAATTGACAATGAGCAACAGCCCGGCCACAAAGTACGCAGACAAACAAAAAGTCCAACTTCAAAAAAGACATGCCCATGTCTTAAAAACAAGGCAGGACAGTATTCCCTCCCTAAGTCTTGGCGCCTCAAAAATGGCCATTTGTAGGTCCAAAACTTCCAATGAAGATCTCTGTCCCTTGACGCATCTTCCGCTCCCCGCCTGCTCCGGCCGGATACCGAGCCGACACCTCAGGTTGGAGGCCGCTTGGCCCAGCCGGATCGCGATCTTGAGTTGAACACTTTCGGAAAATGGAGGAGTAAGCTGTCTCAGTGCCAATGTCGCACCATAGCTGGACAAATTCGATCTGGAGAAGTACAGTTCCCTGTAGGGTCCCAGTGTCCGACCCCCACAGATGCTGAACGTGAAGCGGTCTTTGGACCCACCGACTGTCGTGAAAATTGACGCTGCTCCGAATGTCGCCCCTTGGCCCGCCTGCACGTGCTGACACAACTGAGAGGAGAATCCGAGACCTTTGCAACTGGTTGCATTGCAGTCATTGTCATACCGTCTTCAGATGTACATCCTAGCCAACCTTACTTTACTGGTTTAGCCACCTATGGAATGTAAACCCATCCTGCCATTTGTTGGTTGACTTCAAAGGGACCCCTCACCCAATAAGGGTGGAACCACCTGGACAACTGGTTGTGCAAAAACACAAAGCATGAAGCCCAAAACCCCTCTTTGTAGATCTCTGAACAAAGGCCGACTCTTGACCATGTTCGGGTTTTCCACCAACCAAAACGCAGGAGCTGGCTGGTCCATACCTGCAAAAGCCGAGGGGTTGTGGGTTCAATTTCCCCAGATCACCCTTTGAGCACCCTGGGGCGCGAGGCCGAGATGAGATAGCGGGTCCACGGCAGCAGGCCATTCAACTCCACCTGAAGCCCGGAAGCTGGAGAAGAAAAGACAAGGCCAGCCTGAAAGCCTGAAGCAAGGTATGTACAAGTGGGTCTCTCATTTTTGAGGGCACTATTTTTGGGATGTCCCCCGAAGAAACGACAAGGCCAAACAGTGGAAAGTTGTTTTTTCAGGCCCCAGGAGGGCCCACCACTCAGGTGGTTCTCATGCTCGGAAATCCTTTCTGCTGCGCCCGAGTTTCCTTGTCAAGCATCCTTGGCTCAACATCAAGGGCCGTTCCCGGTGCCTAGGCCGGTCGAAGTGTAGACACTTAAGGCACCACATAAACAAACAAATATGCATCCAGCCAGCGGCTTTGCCCCTTCCAGTCCAATTCCCCGTCCCCCACACCCACGCCGCGCCTTCCAAATATCATCGGGGTGGGTTTTTTTAAAGGTGTTTCCTCTAAGTAGGCCCAAACAAGTGTCCCTGGGAATGTTCAGGGCGTCTGTTTGGCGGTTGATTTTTCAAAAGCGCGCCCCGAACAAAAGCCAGCACACCACTCAGGGTCTGGTGGCCTGCAGCTTGGTGTCCTTCTCCTCGTCACCCTCCAAGTCGCGGATGTCCTAACGTGAAACGCGGCAACCGAACCAGAGATCCATGTGGGCGTGCTGCAAAGACCCAGTGCAATTGTGCTCCTTTGGCTTGGAGAAGGTCACTCGCCAGCCTGGGCTCTGTTTGTTGCTAGAACTCAAATTTATTGGCAAAATACAAACGTAACTTACCTAAAGACCCTGTTTGCAAGGTAGCGAAGGGCCCAGAAACTAGTAAACCCTTAATGCAATATGTTCTAAACCCCAAAATGTTGTTGGTCTATTACTATCTGTTCGTATCAGGTTTGTGAATGTTGAATTAACAACTTCAAAAAATCTGAACCGTACCCAAACAATGATACTTGCAGTTTATGTGTATTGAAATGTATCACGATTGTTGCTGTCAAAACAACCCAATCGACCACAAATATTGTAGTACTAAGAGCAATCGTGGCGTTAAATCAGCGTGCAAGTATACACTTACTGCGTGCAGGCTTGTTCTTCAAAATCGAGACACAGGCGACAAGAACCTGTCCTTCTTTTCTCGAGGGACCCGTTCTCCGGTGCTCCCTTGGAAAGAGAATACCTTCAGGGACCCCCGCAATCTGGCAGCATTTCGAGGGGAGTGGATAGGCCAAACACTTGCTGTTTACCGCTAGCATGGTCTTCCCAAAGAATCTATCAAGTCCATAAGCTCAGGGAGTGAGTTTATCAGTCCTGGCAAGCAAAAATGGCGGGACCCATACTTCAAGGTGGGACGCCTACCGTTCTGAAGACCAACAGGGACCCATCAATTTTCAGGGCGTTTTCGGGAGGGCTTCGGAGCTTGGATGCTACCAATATAAGCTTAGGCAGCTTTTAGTCTGTCTCCATACTTCCAACCCTGCCGGCTCCTGCAAATCCCAATCCCCGCTAAAATCGACAAAAATGGATGGTGCAGCTACCCCAAAATGGTACCATTGGTTTTGACCCACAGCCAGTTGGCGGTCTGGCTCCTGAAAGCAGGCCGCCAGGCGCGCCAGGTGGGAGTCCTCCTTCGCGTCCAGCAGCCGCTGGAACTGGCGAACCCAGCGCTTCGGCTTGCGCGAAGAAAGGATGAGGGAACCTGACTGCAAGGGATGAACCCCAACCGGTGGAGAAAAAGGATCAACCGAGATTGTCTTGGATGGCCAAGATACATTGGTGGATCCCTTGGATTCGATGAACATGCGCGTTGCTGATGATTTTCAGCGGTATCAGCAATGCTGTTTGCTAAATCCCCACTCGACAACAGGGGTTCCTTCCGAACCCTTCCCGAAGCCCTTGCAGTGTTGAAAGCTTGGAAAAGCCTTGGTACCTACAAAACCAGAAAATGAAGTCACTCTTGTTTCAACTTGCTCAAACCACAAGACCAAACACCCTCCTGTTGGCCCAAGCCTCCTGTGGATTGCCACGGCAGAAAAACACAGCTTCTTGTCGGTAGTTAACTTTACTGAGCTCCAAAATCCAGGCACAAAGCCTCGTCGATTACAGGCAAGTTGCTGATTGTTGGTCGCCCCCCATCAGCTTGCGGTAGTACTTGTGTCGGCCACTCATGCGTAAAGGGCATTTTCGAGTGGATTGATCGTGTATGTGTGTTTTTATATATTTTTTTCATATTGTACCATAAGGGGATGACAGCGATGGCAATTTTATCTCCACACCTGCGCAAGGAACCGGAAAGTTGATTGAAGGCAGGTGTGTCGTTTTGCAAAACCCAACAAGGCTACTTACCAGCCACACAGCTTCCAAAGTTTTGCCGACCCGAGCTCGTCTTGACCCGGTAAGCGCCCGTTTCATCCATTGACTTTTGGTTCTACCATGGTAGGTGTTTCCTTAGCTGTCCTACCCCAGTTCAACCAGGTGGGTGTTGCGGACCCCCCAAAATGCCGTTGGCTTCCCTTTAGAAACAAAGAAAAACCGGGGGCACCATCAAAAAAGGGGACACCCAGGAAGGTTTCGAAGCTAGAAGAAACTCTGCCTGGTTGGAGCCCACAATCTGGCCGTCCGCCTTGCGTGGCCTCGGATGGTGCTAATGCCAGAAACCAAGGGTTTCGGGTGCTAAATGGGGACCTCTGGACAACAACATGAACATGATCTATCCGCTTTTGGGGCGTTTTGAAAACTCGAGGCAAACAGTTCCCATCCAAAACACCCCTGCCCTCAACCCCGCTTGCTGGTTTCCTCCACATCCTTAACTTCTGGCAGTCAAGTCAAATCCTATGGAACCAAGAAGGCGGGAAAGCGTTCGAGATCCCATGCTGGCCCGTCCGCCCGTCCCGACCGGACACCTTCGGCCCCCCGCTCATGCTGGAAGCAGATCACCGTCTCCGCGCAGGAGGCGGCGCCCTCCCCGAGCTGCGGCTCTGCACGGACCACGTACTCCAGGCCTCAAAAAGTCGGGCCCGACAGCGCGCGAGAAGAAACCATGTGCGCGTTCTTCTGCCGGCCACTTTTCCGCGAATGGGCCATCGTTGCCAAAGGGAACCTTTGTGTGTGCCAAACAAGTTTCGCTAGCAAGTATGACTCCGATTTCAGATCCGTCAACCTCTTCGATTTTTGAAGGGGGGTGGTTTCCCTAAAAGTGCTCCAGACAATATCGGCAAGGCAGTGGGTAATTTCGGGTCTACTAGGTTAGTCAGTAGAAACCCTTGGGGGAGACGCTGCACAACAAGGGATCATGTTGAATGCAAGAACCCAACTAGAGTCACAATCACAACTTGCTATTTGAATGGTCGACGCAAACCATGTAAACAAACCAAAGCGCGGGCGCACCTATGTTCTGTTAGACCTGTCGCCTAGCCTTCAAGTTGCCCTGTATTAGGATTGGTGTTGGGGGGCCGCTTCCTTCAAAGGAACTCAAGGGCGTACCAGTAGTGATTTTGGTTGTGTCGGATCAACTTCCTTCGCTTTTTGGCTCTGCTGGTGTGGCCACCTCTGGCACTTGAGGGGCGAGTCCGGTTGGGCCCTGACAGGTATGGTACCATAAGACATCTCGGTATCCTTTAGGCAAAATCGATGGAGCCAAGCCAGTTTCTAGGGTCCCACGGGTCCCACGGGTCCCACGACCCGAAGATGTTGTCCTTTGAATTTCTATTCAAAGTCTTGGAGTAGCATGCATGTATTTTCGAAGCCGAGCAGTTTGTATTTCAACCTCTTGGAGGCGACCCGCTGCAAATGGGTCTTCCCAAGAGACCCTTCGATGAAGAACCGCCTGCAAGCATGCTGTGGGTTCGGGATCTGGAAACCAAGGCCAAGCCAAACATGAATGTATTGTCCATGTCCACCCCCGGTTATAATAACCCCCCCCCCCATTTGCTGTTAAGGTTGGGGGGTGGGGGGGCCCTTTTGCGGGGGATGGATGCCTGGTGGGGTGATCCCCCTTAACAACTGAAGGCTTGTGGGTCAACTCGCTAGGCCTCGCTCAGCTCCGCTCAGTTAGGCTCCGGCTATTGATGCCGGGCACCCGGTCGAAAGGTGGCCAGCCTTGGAATTGCGGAAAACCCTTTGCTGTGATACCAAAGTTAGTTCCCATCCCCTATGACCATATGGGTTTGGCTTTTTTCGATTGGCATATGTTAAGGGAAACCAAAAGGAAAACATCATTTGTTGGGGTCCCCTATTTGAAGACACCCTATATTATCTATTTAAAGAAGGAGAAGGGATTGCCTCGGCATCACCGCAAGTGGCCCTGAAATCCTATTTTCCGCAATCATCCTGAAGGCTGCCTAGGGAAATTCGGTCAAGCAGTCACATGGGCCCCGGACAGTATAACGAGAAAATTGCATTGTCCGCATGTCCTCCCCAAACCAACTGGAAACGACCACCATTTTGTGAGCCGATCCTGAGCCCGACAGCCCGACAAAAGCTGCACAAGGCTGATTAGAGCGGCTAGTGGACCCATGTGTGGTCTTGGTCCAGCGAGAATAGAGTTCCATGGTTTGAAGCTCGGCCTGTCATTCAAGGCCGATTGGAGGATGCTATGCAGCTTCCCTCACTCTATTCTTTGGTTGCCCATTCTTCCCCCCGAGGTTTTTGCAAACCGCCAAGATTCCCAAGATTCCCGGGTTTGGAGGCATTTTCAGGAAAGAAGGATCCCTGGAAAGAATGGGGGATGTAGGACTAAATTCGCTTGTTGATTCAAGGGCCGTCGCAGGGTTTGATAGATCCCTGCAGACCAAGTGGCTGAACTATCGGGAAGGACCCCGAACTAGGGTGCAAAGGTTCATGAGGTCACCCCACTTCCCACGGTGAGTCCAGGTGATAGTGGTTCGTCAACTTGGTCAAAAAAACTTAGGGGACTTACAGAGGGAAGTGGGAAGCCTCAGCTGTTCCCTCCAGGCGCCCCAGCAGACCTTGATCGCAGTGGGGCCCAAAGCCTCCGCAGTCGCCACGCTGCTCCTCCGGCATTCGAATCTTTTAGTCCAGGCTCTAAGTGAGGATGTCTTGCGTTAGGGGACTCCCAGATCGAGGTTTTCCTTTTGGTGTCCTTTTAAGCCGACACAAAAAAAAGTTCCCACAAAAAAAGACACGCCCAAGTCAGACACCGGGGGCTTTTTAAACCAAACCATACTGGGTAACCATATTCCGTACCTGTAGGTTTTACATGGAACATGCCCAAGCCTATCCAGTTTCCACTATGGGTAACCATATTATCTTATTAAGAATCTTATTGTTTACCTCTAGGTGTTGTATGGGTCTTCTTTGGCAAATGCCATCTTGGGTCACACCGCAACGTTCAAGAAAGCACATCGCAGCCAGCTTCGGGGGGTCCCCTGAGGTTGGGGTTGATGGGGTTGGGCTGTTGAGTACTTTCAATCCATGGAAGTTTCCACAACCCTCAGGAAATCCAGAACTCCCAAATAACCTGAACACACTGCAGGGCCTTTCGTTTATTGTTGGACACCCGGCATTTGCTTGTGTGTTTGGGGTTGTCTGTTTCGCTTGCTCACTGGTTTAGTCTTTGCACGTCCCACAAAACTAATTGGTCGACCCTTTTCAATGAATTTGTGTCAAAGTAGGGAATTGGACCCCCAGCGTGGGCTTTGATTTCCCATTCCCAAAAAAGAGTACCCCAAAACAGACGCACACGCACACACAGCTGAAACTTACACTACTGGTGCATGCTGACCCCCAACCTGTTGTTGGACCCATAAACCGCAAGACTGGACCAATAATTGGGCCGAAGTAAACTTTTTCTGCTGGAAAAAAGAAAACACAACAGGACAACCGCCAATTTCGGGGGGTCCCCTAGCCAGAAGGTCTGAACCGACCCCATGGAACGACGCCTCAGCGGCGCGGGGAGCGGCAGCGGCAGCGGCTGCGGTGCGGACCAGGGGGTCCAGCAAGACCTATTCGACACTCGCTCTCCGTGTCGTGGTGTTCTGCTTGGCCATGGACAAATATGGCCTTCTTGTGGTGACCCCCCCCCAAAAAAAAAGAAGCTTGTCACAAAAAAAGGTTTGTCAAAATGGGAAACCACAACATGAAGAATCAAGCTTCTGCTGCGGAGTGTAACTCTGACTTATATACCCACCACGCTGAGAAATCTGGAGCCGGGATTAGGGACCAATGGGTTGGTGCCTTCATGTGTTTCTCTTTAAAACCAAATCAACTAGAGGCCACATCCCTTGCCGTGCACATGGTGGGACGAGATGTGTCTCAGCCTGAGAGGTTCAGCTTAGGTACTCTCGGGGGCTCGGCTACATCTGTACCCCCTAACATGATCTCCGTGTACCCACAAAGGAAACATGTACGTGCAGGCCTTTTTGTCATTGGGTCCAAGCCGTAATCATGTACGAGGCCCGGGTTGAATCGTGGAACTATTGGAAAGCAATGATGTTCATGTACATTTGCATGATAGTGTATATATGAATACACATTCATATATGTATATATCTTGGATGAATAATGTATGGGTATGGCCACAACCGAGCTTCATCTGATGAGCTCGTCGTGCCAACCCAAAGACGGATAAGCACTGTTCAAACCAACAGCCTGCTCAAGACCCTCACACCGGCGGATTACCTATGTTGCAAGGGAATCAGTTGCAAACCTCCAATTGACCATTGCCCATGGATAAGAAACATGCATGTGTGGTTTGAAGCGCGCTGCAAACGCAAAATGTCTACATCCACATATCTGAGAGAAACCCCGAGAGGCACCCCGAGAGGCCCAAAGGAGCCTTGGGATGCAACCACAAGACCAACGCGGCTGAACCCAAACACAGGCTTGCTCCCAGTTAAGCTTGGCACTTGGTTGAAATTGAACCCATGTGGAACCACCTCACCCATGTTCCCACCTTGGGGCTTTGATGATCTTTGAGGAACGGTTCGAATCGAACACACTTGACAACTGGGCCTCGAATCCCACCAACGTTTGCTTCAACAACGAGACTCTGTTTCCCGTTTCAGGGAAACCAAAAGGTTGATTGAACAACAGCTTTCTGGTTGCCATGTTTCAGCAAGCTGTCGCGGTGGCTTAAATCGGGTGAGCAAATTCTTTTCCGAGGAGCCATCGGTACTCCGTGCCCACGCGCAGGGAAGCCTCCAGCCGACGAGAAACCCTTTTGCAGGTTGCAGCCAACCCCTCCAACGATACCAAAGTGGCATTCCTGTCACTGATCATACTTCATTCAAAGGGGTCCCTTGGTATCGCAAAATGTGGCCCAGCCCAACTTTCCACCTTTTGCGAAAGGTCCGGATCCCCCAAGGAGCAAAAAAAAAGGAACATATTTTCTTGGGTGTCCATGTTGATCTGCAGCCGTGCAAGGATTGGGTTGTCCAAAGAAACTTTGAGCTGTTCACCAGCCCATAGCTCCCAGCGAAGGGATCTGTGTCATGAATGTTGATTGCCCCAGCACGGTTGTTCATCCTTATAGAAACAAGTGGATTGAGTTAATGCCACTAGCCCAAGAAGGGTGGTTTGACCACGTAATGAATGACATGAAAGGGCAGAAAAAGAATTGGTCTCTCTTTAACTCATGTTCATGCGATTTGAGTATCTTGAAAGGAAGTTGTAAGCATGAAAATCCAGAGTAAAACGACATCCATTCCCTTTAATCCACCTTGACAGCATTTTTTCTTTACTAGTTGCTTGGCCAAGATGTAGCTGGTGAAAAGAGGTGGACCATCTCTTATTCTCTGTCCCACTCCCTCCTTTCGTGGGTACCAAAGATGCCCTCGATGGTAGGAAGGAGAGAGGCAGGACAGGAGAGTGATAGGCGATGGGTGCGAATTTAGAGCGGTCACATGGAATTGACTATCATCATCATCATCATCATCATCATCATCATCATCATCATCATCATCATCATCATCATCATCATCATCATCTGTCATGTTGTCTCATCTCTAGCTCCTCTGCTCCGTCTCCTCGCACGCCGGAGAGAAGAGGGGCCAGAGAGCGGATAGAGGTTAACTCGAGTTCGCTCCACTCCCCCACCCAGAAGTTTAGAAGGAACTTCCCTGATACGGCCACCAATTGAAAGCAAGCACGCACGAAAAAAAGCGTGCGAATGTGGCGAAAGATGACAAACTGCAAGAAGAGAAAAGGAAAAAAGAGAGAACATGAGAACCGTATACATATATATATATGTATATACAGGTATATAGTTTTATATGTTTTGAAACGTCTGCCAAAAAGCCAACACTGAACCTCTAACAAGGTAGGAATCCTAAGTGCGCCTGGCGAGGGTTCTTCTACACAGCGGTTCCATAGCGTTGCCCGAGCATTCCACGGACGTCTGAGCACAGGCCGTCTGAGCACCACCACGGCACGGCACGCGGCCGAGAACCGCGCCTCGAGCTGGTCATGGCCCATGAGCAACTCCCGCAACTGGTCGCTGAGGTCCACCTGAGGAGTTGCCCAGTTCGCCGACTTGCAGATGGTCCTACCGGTTTTTGGCTCACCGTTTTTCTGGACCATTTTACGGTGGATTCCCAGGATCCTGCTCAAGAGTAGAGTCCTCTTCAAATCAGGGGCTTTTAGGGGGTTCCACGTCAATCAAGGGAGTGTCCAAGCAGACCCAGGTGTGAGTCTTACTTAGCTTCTCGCTTGGGTTCAAAGGTTGATTTGGGGAGCCAGAGAGAATGGACAGCAGGTGTAACATGTGAGCAGTCAAAGCTTGCGATTGAAAGACATGGGAAACTTAGAGAATCCTATGGCTTTGGTTGACAGTTAGAGAGTCCCATGTCCCAGCTGAGTATTGTGACCAAACTTCAAATGGAGTCTCAAAGTGAAACCCCAAAACTGCCGCTGGCATCCTTTGGGCTTCGTCTAAAACCATACGCTCCAACACATGGGCGAGAATGTCCGTTTGACTTCCCTTAAAAAAGCATCATCTGCACAAATGTACAATTGCACCAATGCTTCGCCAACCAGAAGGAATCCACGAACAAGGGACGTTTATCATTGGGTGGGCCTGGTTCAGTGAACTTGCTATTGTCAGTGAAGAAAGCATGCGTTGTTTTCTACCTGGAGGACAGTGGGCGTTGGTTTGCCGTTTAAGAACCGCCAAAAACACCCCAACTCGTGCTTCTCAAAATGGTCCAGCCAAACATGCGTTTCCTTTTGGCTTCCCCTTGATTCTAATGGTTTTGAGAGGATTACACCCTGGGATTACACCATGGGAACATGACCCATAGTCAGAAATAACAGGGAATGCCCAGATAGTTCCCCGAATGGAACAATGTCCCAGGCGAAATTCCCGGGCATTTTGCAAAAGGAGGATCCCTACTTTGAGACAGACCCAACTGAGCCTCAGTCAAACTGTGCAGCAGCTACCCGACAAGAGTGGCGAGAATTTTTGAGAGCCCCCGCGGTTTTCAAGGAAAACAGAACAGTAAGTCCCCAAGTGTGGACCATGGTTAGGGGTTGCTTCCCCTGTCCTTCCAGAAATCAAAGACGGATCGCGGCTGCGGAAATCACCCTGTGATTGATTGGAGGTTGCGAAGCGTCTGTTTTTGTTGCTGTGTTTGCTGTTTTGGCAAAACCTGGCCAAGATTTCAGATGGGGGCATCTGAGACATCTTGCCTTTTGACACCTTCTTGCATGGCCTTAAAGTGTCATAGATATGTTGGGGGTAGACGACCGGTAAACAGCCATTGTACGGAAATCCCGACTCAAATTAAGTCTACGTAGATCTAAAACATGCCTAAGTGCTCAATAGTGCATTTCATCCAATTCAGGGAGAGAGGGTGTAAACGCAGGGTTCCTCACATTTCAACACGAGACTCAGAGTCCTCTTTCTTCCAACAAGTTTAGAGGTGAACTCTAACGATCGGTTGAATGGGAACGACCCATGACCTGTCTTTCCTGTTTGGTGGTTGTGTTTAAGGGAAACCAAGGAGAAACCACCCTGAGGGTACCCCTCAAAAGACAAGCCCGTAATGACATCACAGAAAGGTTGATTTCCTCCGCGACCATGTTCTGAACCCAGGAATCCTTCTTCAGAAAACCTGTCAAAACCTGGAGGGAACGGCGGAAGAACCAAGTAGTCATGGAGATGGGCACGTGCGCAACCCAAGCCTTGCTGGGAATGAAATGTGGCCCTGCGACTAGACGCTTCAGACACGAGAGTTGGCCACTCACAGGGAGTGTGCAGCCTAAAGTTTAGAGGTTCAAGCCGTCAATAGGGCCATGACCTATTAAGCCTGTATTAGCCCCTTTTTAGAGGCTTCTCCTTGGCAAACACCCCCCCCCCCGCAAACAGTGGCTCGCTAAATGCAAGTACTGTAAGCACAAAACCGATAAGCTAGAAAATCGTTCCTCTGCTCCTTGGCAAGTTGCTCTAGTTCTCCAACCGAAAATCGGGCACCTTGATGGGTGACGTCCCCCCCGACCCCCAACACGCGCCGGACCCGACGATCATGTCCCACCTGGAGCTCGTAGCGATGCCCGAAGCAGCCCAGCAGCCCGGCCACCCAGGCCTTGCCGATTGGATTTTCACGACTGGCAATGTAAAATCTAAGAGGCAAACAAAATCCTGTTGGAATGGATAAAACCCTACTGGAAAAACAGGATTTGTCCACGCGAAGCCGCTCACCTTTTTTTCCTGGGCCGGCCTTGCACCACTGGGTGATTAGACTTAGACTAACCCGTGTCTTGCGGGACCTTTCCTAGATGACCGCAGGGGCAAACCAAAGGACCCCACTCCAGTCCTGCGGGACCTGTCGAGGAAATTAAATTGCAACAGGCATCCACAGGTAGGAAAAATACCATGAACAAACAGAGGCATACCAAAGAAGCATCGGCGCAACAAGAGCTGGATTGCATCAGCAGCACCCCCATCATCACTTCTGGAGACCTGTCGAAAAGAAAACGAGGAAGTTGCAAACAAACAGCAGCTCGCATCCCCGGCTAGGGACCAGAACTGGAAGAAACGAACGCCCCCTACTCAAGTCCTGTGGGCCAAAGAATGGAGTTCCTCCTCGCCTTGGTCATGCTCTGCTTGACACACTTCATCAACCGGGTCTCCAGAAGCTGTGGCTTCTCTGTCAAACATTTCGAGATGCCGTGGCGCTTTGGTACCATCACGTCAGCTCATACAGACGCTCACTGCACTAGCACTGAAAGGAAAATTAAGGTCAGGTCCCCGTGGTGAAGGTGAGCATGAACCATGGTCTAAATTACTTGTTTTCCCGAAATGGCAATGACATAGAAATGAGGCTTTTGTGGGGACCTTTTGAGCTCGATCACAAACCAACCAGGAAATTGTTGAAACTCTCAAGTTTGGCACCTACTATGACAGCTGGGAGCCCTGAACCCTGGGGCGTCAAAGGGTCGGTTCCATTTTTGGAGCGAACTGGCAAGCTCGAAGGGGAATGCCGGATTCTGAGAGGCACAAGAGGAGGGGGGTTGTTCATCTTGAGGTTCAGAGCAACCCAATTCGCCTGTGTGCCTATGAGTCTTGACGGTTGGACGTCCGCAATGAAATATTGCTACTTATAGGCACACAGCTATATGCACACCTGCATACGCAGCACCAGGTTTTCACCCCACATTCCAAGAGAAGAACCTCTCACCTGCTTGGACCCCCACTTGGAGAGTGGCTGATATCCCCAGTAAGGTCCCCACTTCGTGGGTTATGGTTACACACAATTGTTCTTTGCGTTTTGCGACAACACCTGCGGCTTCTTCTTTTTTAACTTTGAGCCGCCAAATAATCGCCAGCTTGCGGCTTCGGCAGCGAACCGCGCAAACGGCGAAACCGAACTTTCGGCGTTTCGCCTCCTCCCAGGTCTCAGGCTCGCCGAGGCTGGGCTGCGTGCCCTCCAATTCGAAACGAAACTTCTCCGCCGGGGGAGGCGACGACTGCCTGAAGGTCCCAAGTAAAAACTCCAGGGAGTTGAAGTCCCGGATTTTGAGACACACATCCAACCGAAACCCTATGGATGCGAACAGAAACCGGGGCAACCGCTATTTTGTGGCTGGGACTGTCCATTACGAACCTTTATGCCAAGTTTTGATTTTGGCTCCACCTGCTGAGTTTGCTGGCAAAAAGTTTATATACTTGGGGGGGGGGGCTAGAACTCGGCAAATTACCAAAAATAGTCCGAAACAACCGAGGGCGTGCCAGCTGGAAGCCTGGAATGGGGTGATTCCGCGGGTGTAGTCCCAGGGTGGCATGGATGAATCCTTGGATCTCTTGACCTCAAAAGCATCTCGGTCGGGGCTGTTTGGATGCTTGGCGCCCAATTCACGGAAGGGCCCCCACAAAAACTCCTCTGAAAGTGGACGGCTTGCTTGGGTTGCATGTGCACCTTTCTAGGTTCGTTTTAAAGGAAACGAAAAGGCAAGCCATCATTTCGGGGGTCCCAGTACCTTGAAGGGGCAGGCCGGCGGGCGATGGGCAAAATCCACTTCGCACCAGTTGGGATGGACGAACCCCCATGAATTCTGAATTTAACCACTTACCGACAGGTGCAGGATTTCGTCCAACACCAATATGTCCCCTTCAATGCTTTGGGCACCACCCCAGCAAGAACCTATATCCCTTCAAGTTGCGTCAAACGACCCTCAAAAAGAGAATGCCGGGATTCATGGCAGTAGTCGTCTTGGCCATACGGACCTAACTCCTTGAAGCGTGGGGGACTTCTTCTATCGGGATATTAGCAACTTGCCAAGTGGGATGGCAAGAAGGCCCAAACAACAGCCCACAGAGGCCCCGGCCACAGCATGTGCCGGTGGCAAAGCCGCAGCAGGGAGCTCTATGAAGCCTGAAGGACATGTGGGGAACCCAGCCTGCAGTGCCCGGGGAAAACAACCTTTTCTGGGTGAGGATTGCCCTTGGTGGGGCTGGGAGACAAACAGCGCCTCTGGTGGAAACCCGCCCTTGGTTTCGAACAGAAAACTCACCAAAGAAAGGAAAGGGGTTGCCCCACCAAAAATTGCAGATCTTTGGTTGGGCTCCATGTGAGCCATAATCACAACTCGGTGTATGGGTCGAGCCAATGTAAAGAATCGAACGGGCTTCTTGCCGCACGACTTTCCCTCACCCTTCACTGGCCCAGGTTTTCATTGTCCATAATGAGTGAGCATTAGAATGTATAGGCGGACGAAGAAATTGGTGGCATTCTTTCGGCTTCTGAGAGAACTGAAAAGGGTAGACCTTCTGGGTACATTGCGGGGAGAAAAAAGCCGCGCCACGGTGAAAATGACTTTGTTCCCTCAGAGGGCAAGAGAAGATCAGAGTCGTCCCCTGATTCTCTGTCGAGTCAATGCGCGATGAATGCGCACTTTGGCACAGCAAAGTGAAACAACACGAAAGTGGAAACTATCTCAGGAAGAAAGAAGGCAAAAGATCCTCCTGCCATGTCCAAAATTCTCTGCAAGGCAGCCAATGAGCGCAATCCGCAACTGGCTCCAATACAAAGTCTCGCTCAAGCCGTTCAGAAATTCTGATGCATTTTGCATGCTGGACAAGTTGCAACCTTTGCCTACTCCCACAAGAACAGAGCGCGCATGGCACGGAGAGGGCCCATGTGTTCCAGGCGAGATCAGAGCCAACGAGCCGACATTCCCAGGGCCCCAAAAGCGTTTCCATGCGAGAAAGCAAATGCTTGACCTCCTGAACCATGTTTGCAGAGTGCGGATCTCCAGACGCCAAACCCTGAGGACGGAAAACCTGAACAGGTTCCCTCATTCGAAATCCCCCACAAAAGGTTCATGGCCAACCCTACCCCAAGTTCCGTGGTCATCTACAAGTGCATTTTCTCCCTGAAACCAGTCACCCTTTTCTGGAGGGTGTCAACCGAAAGGAACCACGCTCTCTATCCTCTATCCAGCTCGGATTCCCTCCTTTGCCCAGACCGATTTCAGTTGTTGACAGGGAGATTTTCACAATGGTGAATCCCTTTTCAATTGCGTTGCTTGTGCTTGCTTTTTCACTGGTGTTAGAGGAAAAGCAACGGGAAATTGAAATCCATTTTGGGCCCCTAAAGATACACCAGATACACCGGCACGGACCAGGCTCCAAGTCTCCGGCGTCTCGGGCCCTTCACACCCACCGGCAGCTCCTGGCGCCGAAAGCTGAGGGAAACCAGCGGCTTTGAGCGATGTGCCCACTTAGAGGTGGCACGAAAATGACCAATGCTTTTGGGCCCTCTGTACAAAGGTCTGGCGTTGGTATGGCTAACTGAAAAACAGTGCGGTGGCAAATGCCCTGGTCAGGGCGCACCCCGAAACAGTATGTTCAGTTCATTCTGTATCAGATTCGATCTTGGTAAAACCTCAAACGGGTTTGGAGGAGAATCCAGCTTCTGTGATGCCAGGTAAGACATGCCTGTTGCTTCGTTTCCCTTCAAATGACAACGAGCAAATGCATTAAACACATGCCGAAAGAACGACGCCCTGCCCCGACCGTACATCCCTTACAAACTGGATGGATCAACATACCTATAGGGTATGCAAGAAGCAGAATAGTGAATCCCTTCTGGGATGGTTTCAAAGGAAATTTAAAAGGAAATTAGCCACCACAAAGGGTCCAAAAAACACTTGCCCCCCCCCCCCCCCCCCAATTACTTGCACGTATCCCAGCGGCAGTCGGTGTGTTTCTGCTTTGCTCCGAGGCCTACGTTTCTTTGAAGCCCGGTTCCGACTTTGTCCGGAACCGGAAGTTTCAGGCAAACCAAAGGGAGACCAATGGCCAAACATGGAGGAAATGGAAGCCACAAAGGGAACAAAGAAAGCAAGGCAGCAAGGCAAGAATGTCATGTGTGTGTGTGTGTTTTTTGGTGAGAAACCAAAGCGGCGACAAGAAAAAACGGCGGAGTCTGGCAATGGAACGTGGGCACGCAGGCAAGGCTGCTTGCGGAAGTGGACAATTGGCTTTCCGTGTTGATTCAATCTAAACTTAGTGGTTCATTGATCCTTTCCTGAAAGTTAAACGGTTGGTGGGGTATGTCATGAATCCCTCTAAAAGGGCATTGCTGGGAATAGATCAATAGCTATAGCTGTTTGAAGAGTCCAGAGCAAGCCCGTCGGAGCAAGCCGCCAGTGTTGGCGCTGCTCGGACAACTGCACAAATATGTTGCTTCAGGGGGGAAGGGCAACCTAGCTGCTATAGCTTTTCGCTTTTGAACATCAGTTGGCAAGTCCCCGATCTCCAGCAGTTGGCAGGCAAGCTGTACTCGCCGATGGTGCCAACCAAACGAGGCGAACTCGTGCGTGTACAGATAATACTTGGCACCGCTTGGATCCCGACTCCCTTCCTGAGAGGTTCTCGGACAGGGACGGCTACCGGTTTATGAGGGGACTTCGGATGGGTGTGTTGAATATTTTGAAGTGGCTGAATCGAGCACTTTTCTGCCAAACGAGCCAAACAAGTCACATGGTTCCGGAAAATAACCCTTATCCTTTATGATACCAACATGGGTCATTCCCATTGCTGTTGTACGACTGTGAACAGGATCCCCGTTGTATCCCAAGTGGAACCCCCCCGCCATTTTCCACAATGAAAGCACTGCTAGGCCTCCCCCCTCTTGCAAACAGGCTCCCCTCTTCGACATGTGGCGGCATTGTTGGTGTCCGAAATTGAAGCGAATCAGGACTTGGAACCAACGTTTTGTTGTTCATCGCCCAAAACCCAGTTGGATTCCTTCCTTAGTGGTTCGCTGATCCCTTGCTGAAAGTTGAACTTGTTGTGGGATATGTCACGATCACGCAAAGGAAACGTACGGCTGTGTCTCTTAAGGGAGCACCCCGTTTCGGTTGGGTTTTAAAGGAGCACCCCCAGGGAAAACCGTGAAGTATGGGGTTGCCCGATTTTAGGACAATCCCATAGCTGAGAACCGTCGGGCCTTCTGAGTCTCCCCCTTCATGCGGATGCGCAGCTGGTACTGGGCCACGTGTCGGTGCCCCACCTTCGCAGACCCCCTCCCGGGTTTTGGGACTTGGGACCGACCCTTGGCGGTTGCTTCGAAGCACACCAAAGGGAAGTCATGTTAGATGCCACAGACGCATATTTGGTGAAGCTGGAAGCTTTAAATACCCGTTCAAACTGTCTTTGTCCGATTCTAGCGCATACTTGGTGAAGCTGGAAATCGAAGATGTGACACCTTGACTCACACCCCCGTGGCAATAGTGTTTACTAGTTTTCCTGGTCAAACTGAGAAAATAGAGAGAACCCAAAAGGGCAAAGAAGCAAAATATTACTCCGAAATCTGGCAATGCAATGAGATCCCGGATCCTTCGCCAGATGATAACTTGTAGTGGGATTTGCCATAAAGTATGGCTGGGCGAGATGCGGAGAGCCTGGGGCGCCCGGCGGACTCATTGGTCGTAGCGGTACGCTGTGTCTGCGGCAGGTGGCCCTGGCGACTTTGGCTAGGGGTTGGCCCAGCTAGACTTGCACCCGGTTCCGTTTTAGCGAGCTCAACATGACATGCTCATGAGCCACACGATGTTGGTCCTTCACATGGGAATCCCGGACAAATTGTCGACCAAAAATGCTTAGATCATACACGAAAATCCGATCTACACGCTCTGTGGGAGTTGCCGGCTTCCCGACGGGAGCCTGCTTTTCAAGTATGAAAGTCTATAGGCTATGCGCAAAGTCGCTGCGGATCAAGGTAACATTCACCCCAAAAGTAATTTTGAGGACCTTCTAAATGCAACGACCCAATGGGATCCAGAATCAGCATGGAAACCTGTCGCTGGGAGGTCAGCGCACCACTCGCACCACTCGCAGGCCTTCTCACTTTTTTAGCCCTCCCAAAATACACCTCAAGGCCTCGGCGGACTTTTGGTAAAACAGGCGGGAGGAACGGAGTGTTGCAGAGAACCATCGCGAGGTGGCTGGATCAAGGGAACATGAGCCCAAGCAGCACACGTTGCTGCAAATCTTCAAAATCCATCCCCCCTTCTTTCCGTCTCAAGATTTCCGGGTCTAAAGGTGGACCCCTAATTGGATCCCTCTCTCAGAGTCCAAACAGGTTGAAATTGTCATTCCGAAACCTCCAGTCACGGGCGAAACGAGCACACGAGTTTGGTGGTAACTTTAAAGGGAAACCACTTCAAGGGAAACGGGCACCGCTGGTGAGCATGTGCAACAATCGCCCATCCGAAGACGACCCCCTTGTCCCTTGTTGAACGCAAAACGCAGTGAAGCGGCCAACACACAAGGACAAAGGACAATTCTGTATTTAATTTGCCGCAAGGAACAACAGGCTGAAATCTAGTTAACATGTTTTTTTTTTTTTTAAATGTCTGGTTGGTTTGTTTGAAATACGTTGTAAAACTTAGGGTGTCCACTTGAAGTCTCCCAAAATAAATAACCTGCTGCGGAAAACGACAAACATACAAGGGGTGGTAACTGTATTTGTTCGGTTATGCTGTCAGTAAATCATGTGTCAACCTATCCTGAAAAGGGCGAAATCACCTCCAAACAGAAGGAAAAAGCAGGCACCACTGACTGGAAGTCTTGCTTGTCCCTAGCATCATGGCAAGGGAAAACAAAGGATCCGTGCCTTTGGAGTTTGGCTGTTTGGCCATCGTGTAGGAAGCTGACCATGTGGCTTCTCCAAGGTTTTTGGACCCCATTGTCAGTTGCTTCTTCTTTCGGACGACAACACAAGGGGGCCAAGAGGGGTTCTCAAACTGGTGGTCCCCCAAAAAAAGCTGACTTCCTTTTGGGAAAAAACAAAAAGGGGGTCCACCATTTGGGCGTCTCGTTTTTTAGGGTACCCTTTTTTGGTGCCCTAAAGGGAAACCAAAAGGAAAGCCGCCATTTTGAGGGGGTCCCCTCAAAAGTGACTGGCACATCACCAGCCCGGCTCACCGCCTCCTTGAGCACCGGCCCGGGCTGCAAGAAGAAGCGGAGGTGCAGATGCAGCGCCCCCACGGAGGGCAGGAACCGCATCCTCGGGTTGTAAGGGAAGCTACAGCCCACGTTGGACAAAATCCAACTCGCACCAGTTGGGATGGATGAAACCCTTCAAGAACTCGCTGGGTTTTGTGTTTGAGGTGGTCCTGTTGGCGCGATTTGCTTGATTTGGGGTGGATGGTCGGTTTTGCTGTGACGTGTTGCTTGCAAATCTCCACACATGGACCCACTCTCAATAGAAAATCAAGGGTGCACCGTAAGGCTTAAACCTTCCATGGGCACCATTAAAGTGACATGGTGGCTTCCCGCAAATGGTTGTTTAAGCCCCTGGCCACTTGTAAGCCATTGAGCTTGCTCCATCCACTTGTTGGTTTTTAGGGAATGCTAAGGGCTTTGGTATAAAGGAGCCCACCCCAAAGTAAGGTCGGTATCCCCAACAACCCCCCTGAACCCTTACCCGAACCCGTTCCGGATCACTCCAGAACATCTAGTTTTGCGATCACAATCACAGCGGGCTGTTCCCAGATCCCCTGCCAAAAGCTTCACTTTTAGTGGGTTGAATGGAAAACCCCACGAAACCCAAGCAAACCCAAAAACCTAAGGGGGCGGCGGTGGAAAATGATTCGCAACCAGAGCGCCCGGAAACACGCGCTCCAGGAGCACAGGTATCCTCTGCAAGTCCACCACTTTGTGAGGGAGGGGCATGTCCACAGGAACTCTATTGTATAGAAATACAAACAAAAACACAGATGCGTACATACATGCATAGCATATCAAACCAAATTTGCTTCTGGGATGCTTCCCGACACATGTTGAAACGCATGTCTGACTCGATCGAACACTGCGCAACGGAGTCCACTCAAGTAAGGCTCTTGCAGTTACCCTTTGAATGCGGGGGAAAGGAAGCCTGCGCCAATAGTAATTTCGAAACCCCCGTCCATTAAGAAAGAACTTCACACGTGGCCCTGAAAGAAAAACATGCCTTCCTTGAAGTGGGCCTGGAGCCTGACCTGACGGCTGCTGGAGAAACAAACCAGCGCACGGTGAAATCAGAATCTCTCAAGATTGGGGAGCCCTCTTCTTAGGGTCTAAAGAGACCCTAGCCCACACACACACACAAGCTGCCCACCTGCGCCATCAAAACTCCTTTTTCAACTCCCAAGCAGGGAAACAAATCAGCACAGTGCCTCAGTGGGAGCCCATGGTGCGCACTTCGCAGGTCAAGCCACAGCTTTCACGTAGGAGCTGCACTGCTTATTTGCATCCCTACCCCAGGTCATTGCAAGCGCCTGCCCTCACCGTCGTAAGCACTCCAGCGATCATAGGATGCAGTCCAAACGTGGACCAACTTTTGGATGTCCAACACATCTTCCACCCAGGGCTGCCAGTCTCACACCAGAAAGAAACGCACAGCGCCCATCCAAATCATTTCTCGCATGGCCCCAACTCTGAATCTGCAGCTGCAAAAGCAGACGAAGCAGCTTGCCAGCTGCTTGATCTGCCCTTACAATTGCAGTGCCAAAGCAACGCCATGCATCGGTAGCCCACCTGTGAAAGACAAACCTCTTCTGCGTAGCAGTCGCCTCCAAAGTGCCACAGGCAAACCACCAGAATGTTGACTCCAGATTAATAACCCATCAAATTCCAGGGGACCTGTTTCAACTACTGAGGGATTCATCAATCAGGGGTCAACATCTCCGAAGCCATCGCCGCACTGGCCAGGACCCATTAGCACGACCGAAAGGCACAAACCTGCCTGACTAGCGGCTTTGGAAACCGTTTATTGGAAATAAGGGTTTTCAATGGGTTCAATGCTGATGCTTGTCCTGTGCCAACGATTTGGGTCCCCGCGCACTGCACCATCCTGACCTTCCGCCAGCCGAGGCAAAGCGATCCGGCTAACCACCGGCTGGCTGGCAATGCTCCACTGCCTCGGCTGTCCATAAAATTCGAGTCAAGTTGGTTTCAACCTCCAAAAACACCTCCAGGCGCTTAAGGAGACATGCAACCACTACTTTGTGAAAAAAAAACTGTTGTTTTAACGTATATGCTCAATCCAAAATGTGTTTTGTACGCCCCCGATTCTTTCTGGGATTCTTCTTTCCAAACCGAGCGGCTTCACGTTGATTTCCCCCAAAACGGGCTGCTTGATTTCCCAGAAGTTGACGCAAAAAACGGGGAATCTTGGTTCTGTCTCACAGGAAATCTGTCCAACAATGGTGGAAGCTCAGCTGCCCAAAGGACCTGGAACAACAAGAATAGCCGTTTTGGGACCTTTACCCCAGAAATGGAAAACCAAACGGTTAAAAGATCGGTCTTGAACAACAGAGATAATGAACGTGGACACGGTCTCCTTTTCAAGAGCATGGTATTCTTCTAACACCCTCTGATCGCACTTCCATGATTGCGTTGCGGAGGGCAAAAGAAAGGGCAACTGACCATCAGGAGTCAGGAGGGGTCCGTAAGTATGAGAAACCGTTTCCTTCTTTGTCTAAGATGAAAGGACAGAATCAGTTTGTGTTTATTTTCAGGTTACACTTCTGTTGGCTTAAAGGGAACCCAAAAGGAAAACCGATGCCATTTCCAAGTCATACAATTTGTGCTTAAACACCCCCGCAACTCAACGCCCCCCCCCTCCCCTGCTCCCCGCCCCAGCCCCTTGCGGGCCGGGCAGGGGCGCCGCCGTCTTGGGGGACACCGTCATCAGGCGCAACACCACGATCTCCGGGGCGCCTTGAGCGCAATGACCGCGCCTCCTAAAGTCTCCTATCGGGGACAAGGGGATATGGAGGTTGTGTCACAATAGGAGAACCGCACAAGAATCATGTTGTTCCTGTTGGTGTCCTTTCACTTTTGGAATGCACCACCCCCTATCAATTTGCCACTTGTTGATCCCGACTCGACATTCTCATACAGCCCACAACAGACTACAAGGCTCTCCTGCCCAAAGCATCTGATATTCAGGGTCAACCTTTGGAGCTGGACGAAAGAATGGACCGAGCGATACCCGAGGGGTGACATCCAGTCCATTCGCTGTGGACAGATCATCCGTCTCCTTTTCGTTTTCCTTCTAAGAACATAGCAAATTCTGGTTGCTATGCACCAAAGTACAAATCAAACCCAAAACAGCTACCAATATGGTGTTCTTTTTTCTCTGGCCATTTCCGGTTGGTTTAAAAAGGAAACCAAAGGGACAACAACCATTTTGTTTGGGTTTTCCTTCTGTTGACCGCCGATGTGATTCGTCGCGCTTGCGGCGTCGCCCCTTCGAGCGCCTGCGGGGAGCCCGACGCGCACGGTGTCCCAGTGCTCGCTGTTCCGCCTGGGAAGGCAATGCGGGCCACGGGTCCCATGGGTCCCCTGGGAACTGCATGAGAAACGAGGCTCCTGTGACCGGAGGATCAACAGCACGCGTGAAAGATGCCACCAAACATCATTCAGCAAACATCTGCAAAGGGCGAGACAACGGCGTGCAATGATTTGCATCGTGCGGCGAACCAGGTGCAACACCCTGAGGTTTGCTAAAATGCCTCGGGGCCCAGGCTTGTCCTTGTTAAACCGCTCCACCACCATGGGCTCTTCCCAGCCTCATCCGAACGCCAAGTCGCTCGCTTAGGGAATATGGTTGAAAGACCCCTACCATGTCCAACCAGGGACCCAGGAACTGTAGAAATTCGGCCTGAGGTAAAGGGAATTAGGAACCGAATTTTCGACCCGTGAGTTGATCGTGCTCCATTCGGGGTGACTCAGGCGTCTCCCATTTTTAGACATGCGCAGTGACGGAGGTTAAATTATGGCAATCTAAGGAAAACGAAACGAAACCTCCAGCCAACGGTTGTTGGTCGACTTTGATATCGGAGCAACTCGGAACCATGGGAAACAAAGGTTGCAACCGCCGTTTTAAAGGCCAACAAAATGGTAATGTTGGAACTTGATTAATAAAGGGCCCCCCCCCCTGAACAATGGAGGCGCCAAAATAATGGGGGTGCACTTTTGGGACGTCCAAACAATGGAGGGTTTTGGGGCCCAATTCTACTTTAGTATTGCAGCCACTTCCTTTTTGCAATTCTACTTTAGTATTGCAGCCACTTCCTTTTTGCAATTCTACTTTAGTATTGCAGCCACTTCCTTTTTGCAATTCTACTTTAGTATTGCAGCCACTTCCTTTTTGCAGTTCTACTTTAGTGTTGCAGCCACTTCCTTTTTGCAATTCTACTTTAGTATTGCAGCCACTTCCTTTTTGCAGTTCTACTTTAGTATTGCAGCCACTTCCTTTTTGCAATTCTACTTTAGTATTGCAACCACTTCCTTTTTGCAGCTTGTTGCTGAAGGAGATTCAGAGTTTGGGGGGGGATGGTTTTTTAATTAAATTTGCTTTGTGGAGTTGTTTTTTGAATTTTCCCCCTGGCAAAAAAACTTTCTATTATTCTGGTCCCCTTAAACAATCACATTATTGTGGTTCAGTGGGGTCTGTGAGGGGTACCCTTGTCCTGATTGTTTTTTTTGCATTTTTTTAGCACGGTTTAATAAAGAGTTTGCAGTTTCAGGGCTGGGGATGGATTTCAAATTTCTGAGGTACACAATCTTCAGCTTGTTGCTGAAGGAGATTCAGAGTTTGGGGGGGGGGATGGTTTTTTAATTAAATTTGCTTTGTGGAGTTTTTTTTTTGAATTTTCCCCCTGGCCAAAAAAACTTTCTATTATTCTGGTACCCTTAAACAATGGGTGTGAACCAGAATAAGGAAAAAAACTTTCTATTATTCCGGTACCCTTTACTAATCGAGTGTCAACATTATTGTCAACGTGAACAATCCTTTTCTGTTCAAGGACTCCCCGTTTTTCAGAAAAGCATGTGCGAAAACCCAGGGAAAATGGATGGTTTGCGCAGAGAACGATTGAGGATGGGAAAGCAGCCCTTAGCTGTTGTTTTCATGCCGAGTGAAAAGTTTGAACCCTGCCTTTCCAACAACAAGGTGACCTGTGAACCCAAAAAGGCGCACTCACAGCGGGACAGCCACTTGATGACTTCAGATGCTTGCAGCCTGGACTGGTAAATGGGTGTGTGTGCTTTTTGAGGTACACAAACTTGGCGGTTAGAAGAGGGCTCCAAGAAGAAGTGCCATTTTGTGGGGGACTCAGACATCGAGCGGCCGTGGAAATGCTCCTTGCCCATCTCCTCACCCCCGGGCACGGCTTCCTCGCACCGGCGAGAGCCAGAAAAGCGCCGCATCGGCTGAAGGTGGCTACTGTTGCCAAAAATGTCCATCTCAGAAAAAGGACTGGACAATTGGCTTTGAAGGATTTTCAAACTTACTTCTGCCGGGAACACAACCCTTTCTTAGCCACCATTTGGAGGGTATATAATTTTGAGGATGTCACTTTGGACTTCCGCCATCTATGTCCCAAATGTATGTGTACATAAGGGCAATGAAGAACAAGTGACACTGAGCTGACAGACGGCCTCAGAGAAAGTTTGACTTTTAGTGGGTTTAGTAGAAACTAAGGCTAAACCCTAAGAAACAAAAACCTAAAGGAACGGCTAGGAACTGCCAAGATATACAGTTCTATATATCTATATACTATATACAATATATATATATATATGCACATGTATATACATATATCGATAGACAGCGTGTAAGTCCTCAAGTCGAGCAACTCTCACGAGGCTTGAAATGGGGAGTTTGGGAGTTTGGGACGGGGCCCAGTTTCCGCACTCCTCTCCAAACGAGCCTTTCCTGGCAAATGGTAATCATCATGCGCCAGCCGAAAATATGGGATCCTTCCGAAAGACACCTTCGTCCTGGTTGGCGTGGAAAAAGCTGCCCAGGCCCAGAACCATTGACTGCCAAGAACTTGCCGGTTGCTGTGGGTACGTCAAACAAAGTCCAAGTGACTCCAGAAGTGAGAAGCTGGAATGAGGGCAAACCATGATTTCGCCACAAGTTATGCCCTGGTGTGCTACGGTTGACCCTTTTTCCAAGCAAAGTGGCCCTTTCAAGAGGTCTGTCAGAAACGCCCGGATTAGCGCGACCTTTGGTTCTCTTGCAACAAAGGTTTACATGGGTGTGTAGGCTTTTGGAGGGTACCCTTTCGCGGTTGGTTTAAAGGCAAAGGAAACCAAACATTTTTAGGGAGACATACCCATATAGCCCTTACAACCCCGATGAAACTAGGTAGAACCCCTAATGAAAAGGCCAATGGGAATCGGTTTTCGGAGCCGCAAGGAGACATAGCGCAATACGAAGACCCCACACTCAGGGGCCGTGCACAAGCTAGACAGGGTTGTACGGGTCATCCCTGCTTGACATTTTGCGAGGAGTGGCCAAAACACAAGGCCCAAAGGGATGGGTTGAGAGATTATCCTACCTCAAAATCGGAGATTCTTGGCATGTGTTTCTCAGACTTGAGCTTTGTTGGTCAACGACTCGGGGCAACCCTGTCCAGCATACTGCACCAGAGTGAGACAGAGACGGAAACAGAGACGGAAACAGCTTTCCCAAACGGACTGTGAACATTTGCAGCTTTCTCCGTTCTCGGGGGATTTGTTGCCCGGGCCTTGTATTGCAGCATGTACTGCTCTGGCAGGAAGCCCTTCTCCACCTCAGACAGTAAGCAGTCGGTCCGATCCCCGACAGGGTTGCACACCCCGAGGTTTCCCTTGTGGCAGCTACAAGCAACAGAGGGCAGATATCCGCACCTATTTGGGGATATGTGTCCAAATAGGTATGTGTCCTTATTTGGTGTTCCCTTTAAACCAACGCAAACAAGGGTAGTCTCATGTATGGCTCGCATAATCCCTCTCTAAACTTCCCCTTTCCGGGTTTTGATTGTGGCACTGGGTGGGGGGGGGGTTGCAACCAAACAATGGGATCACACCCGCCAAAAATCCCAACCGAATCTGGCTTTTTGCAACCTCCATTTGCAAAAAACACAACTAGTCCCATTTTGTGTTCTCTACGACAAAGGGAACAAGATCCTTCCAATGAGTCATTCAGTGGGGGTCTTGACAGAAGCGGCCTGGATCAGATTGGACCATCATCCATTTGCAGACCAGCTTGAAGTAACGGAAAGCGGGGGGCTACCAGTGCGCGCAGGTTATCAAAAGTGCCCTCTGAAAAGGGGTCGGCGGGAGAGTTCTTCTGGGTGTCAAGTTGCCGTCTTTTGTATTGTGTGAAATATGTGCAAGTTGCAGTCTTTTCTGCTGTTCTGTTGCATTTTTGGGTTTCCAAAGAAGTAAACAAACCTCAAGGAAGCCAGATGTATACTACTGAACAACAACTACAAGACTAATGAGAATGATATACAAAAAACAACAATCCTCAGATAGTCTGTCCAATGGATCAGCCTGCTCAAAGCCAAAAGCCAAAATACAAAAAACTGAAATCATTTCTCAGACACGTTTCAAGAGGTAGCCACTCAGTGTGCCAAGAGTTGTGGGAGAATGTGTGCGTGTGTTGGTATTCTCGAGTTGTTGTTTTGGTGCGTGGCTTAAAACTCCAGTGCAAAATGGAAATTATGGTTGAACTCTTGTTGAATACATTGTGTATAAATGTTATCTGATGCGTAGATGAAATTATATTGGAAATGAACTCCTGTGCAAAGCCTAATTTGAAATAGAATAACGATTGTTGAAATTCCAACTTATCGGAGAAATTATGCTTGGAATATGTCCTTTTCAAAATTATATTCAAGCTCGAATTGAAATGTACCGTTCAATTTGGCAAGGAATTCTATCTAAAATCCAGATTTAAGATAGAATGTCCAACAGGATCTGGAATAAGGGCGTCCTTGTTGAGTCCCATTTAAATTCTATTCAAACCCTCACTAAAGTTTAGAGAGCGACCGTTGGTGAAGATGTGAGTTTACTATGCAACCATCCAAAAACTGGGCTTTACGGTCATTTTTTGACCATAGTACTGCTGGGGGCTAGGTAAAAACGCAATCTTGGGACGTCCGAATTCTGTCCTTCTGAAATTCCACATCTTTATTATGAATTATATTGAATGTCTAATCGAATCTAAGTTGGAATAAAAAACAAACGAATGTAATCAGAGCTTCTGTTTGAACGGATTGTTTGTTGGGATCTGTGCAAGTTGCCGTCTTTTGGTATTGTTTGTGTGGAACATGTGCAGTGCAAGTTGCAATCTTTTCTGCTGGTCGAATGCATTTCCGGGTTCTAAAAACGAAACACGGAAACCAACAACTGTCTTTTTAAACTGGATCAGCCCTGCCCGATGCACAAACATATATCGAGAACACCCAAAATCAAGCCACAAAAGCGAATAGTATGTTCTTTAAAAACTAGTTAACACTTAGACTCCATTTACTCCAAAAGAGTTCAACATAAGCAAGATACAGACTTGCATGCGCAAGCAGATCAAACTATGGCAAAAAGTGCACTGCCACAGTCCCCAGCCTTCAAAAAAAAAACAATGCCAACAGAACGAGCACGCTGGCATCACCTCCAGCATGCCTGGCATCACCAGCCAGCATTGCCAGCATCGCCAAAAAAACTGCAGGGGGTGCAGGGTGCATCCCCTGCCTCATTTGCAACAGGCGCTTGCGACTACAAGACAGCTAGACTCAGATCGCAGAAAAAGCCAGACAAAACCAAATTTAGGAGCGGTCTAGCATCATTGTTGCACGAAATACGTTCACCTGCGTTTTAAACCCCAACCTCAATCGACCTACACATCGCATTCCGTCATTCTGCAATAATAATTAAACAAAAAACCTGAAAGAAGCGATCTCCGGTTAGGACCTTCATCATCGCTTTTCGTTAGTTTTACCCCCCACCTCCCCACACCGGACAATCCACCCAAAGATGCTTTGAACATCTAATGAAGAAAACTGGGAGCAACCAAGGGCGCCTGAAAAGCACGCGGCTGATCGCCGGAGGGGGGGAGGGGGGGGGGAATTTCAGGCAGCTCCTTGACCAAATTATGCACTAGGAGAAACCATCTAGTAACTGGTGCAGGATTGTGTCCATTCACAGCATGGAAAACCCTTCCGTCGATCCCGTTGCCTGGGCTGCCACACCCTCAAAGACACCCAGGGCCTCGCCGCCCAGCAGAAGTCCTCTGAATCCTGATCAATTGGAACGGAAGAAAAGGAGGGCAGGGGCTGTTTGTCTGTTTCTGTTGTTTGCTTGGTTTGCGTGCTCTGTGTTTCTGTGTGTTCGTTTGTCTGCTTGTCTGTTTGACCTGTTAGATGCCTGTTTGTCTGCTTGTGTGCCTGTCTGGTTGCCTGTTTGCCTACTTGATTGTTTGCCTGCCTGATTTGTTTCTTTGTTGTTTGTGTTCTGTTTGCTTGTCTGTGTTTCGTGCTTGATAAGTTAGATTAGCGCCTTGATGGTTTAGATTGGCTACCCTACCATGTGATTTCAACCGAAGGGTTCAAAGCCTAGCGACAGGTCGCAGATCAGTGACCTCCCTCGTGCCAATCTGTTCGAAGGTTGCACAACCAAAGAGGCACCTTTTTTGGGGGAGGACTTCATCAAAATCGGCGCACATTTAGCACATGTGCCCACCAAAAAGACGTAATACTGAAGTGGGCCAATGAGGCGGCTACACCACTTTCAAAGGTGATTGCCTTGGTATCACACAACATGGGACTTTGCAAGTCAAGGGCTGTTGTCATGTCCCCCCCCCGCCCCCGAAAATTGTACACATGGTACGATGCCGTTGTATGCGTTCACAGTACATTGGGGCCCCCAAAAAGCTGGGTACAAGACATGCGCCTTGATATGCAGTAATGGAAGCGAGAAACATATGCATCTCTTTGTATACAGTGGGGCATATACAGTGTTATATAATCCACCCCCTATGGATCGCATTGCCTGGCGTGTGATCAAGCCTCATCCGGACCTAAAAATGAGAAATTCCCACTTCTTGGGCATCTGCATCATGGATGGAAACGCACGCGTTTTACAATCAGGCGAGCTCCACATAATTTGAAAGGAATCATGAGGGCCCCTAGCCTCATTGCTTTCCCATTTACCCAAAAGACCATGGGAATTGGCGAGCTCGTTTTAAACCCCCCCCCCTCAAACCCCCACTCGACTGGGTCTCCTCCAAATGAGACATTGCTTGAGGCCTTAGGATCGTTTGGAGGAAAAAGGAGGAAGGGGGCAAATAGTTGAGTTATGCCTTGATAAACAGCCCAGTGCGCTCAATCTCGGGGAGGGGGTTGGAATCCTTGCACAAGCCCATTCGGTCCTCGCTGGGCTCCTCCACTTCCTAGTCCAAGTGCCACTCCGAAGGACAGTGGCGGAAAAGGCGGAGCTGAGAGGAACAAAAAACAAAAAAAAACATGAAGCAATAAAACAGACGGAGATGAAATAAACATACATAACGAAACGAGAAAACAAACAGAGTTGAGCCAAACACACACACACACACACACACAAAAAAAAAAGAAAGAAAGAAAAGAGGCAAAACCACCTCGCAAGAACCGGAGCTGAGCCATACAGTTCCTGACACGATTGTATCCGTGCGTTTATAAGCCTCTTGGTCTGGACCCCTTCAAGCTGGTGTGTAAACTGCCCTTCATTGTTTTACCATTATCAAGGTCACCCCCGCAAAAAGGCAGGTTCCTTTTTCTGTGTCTGCAGCTTCCCTTTGAACCTACTACTCCGTACCAACTTCGGGGCGACTTTGACGGCAATTGCAACAATGAGCCCAGAAGGTTAGCATAATCACAGTAGGGGACACCTATTTTATGGCTGGTCCCGCGAAGGGCACTGAGCCTCCAATAAGACGACCCCCCCCACCCCCATCCCCTCCAAAGAGAAAAAGGGCCACCCCTGCCCCTCCAAAAAAAAGGAAACAAGGGCCCCCCGGAGGTGTGGGTGTTTTTTCAGTGTTTTGCAGACTTCCGAGGCCCGCCTCATCCAGGTCCAGGCGCACCGGCATGGGCTGCAGCGGCCCCCGCGCTGGGAAGGGAGTCAAAAAAGGCGGGGAGATCGCCTGACGTAGCTCAGAACCGCGGGGCGACAACACATGGTCCCGTTTCGAGGAGGGAGTAGGGAGGCCTTGAGTTATCCAAAGGCGGGCAAAGGGCTAATTCTGGAGAGAAGGGAATAGGGAGAGATAGGGAGAGAGCGAGAGCCAGAGAGACCCATGGATTGAATGACCAAGGTCCGAACAGCCCACGTCAATCGCTTTCTTCTCACACAGGTGGTGAGCCAAAAGGAAGATGGGTACTTCTCGTCTTGATCTCGCATGTAGTATTTTGTGATGGCACCCATGAAATCATTGGTGTGTAGGACTCTCCTCCAGCAATGACAGTTGCGGCAACGGCAGTATGGAACCCCTTTAGTCCTATGAAACCAGCTGTCCATCTATGACACCCTATGAAATGTAAAGAAACCACCTTGCCAACCTTCCATTGTCTTAAGCCGCCTGGTAAAGAAAGGAGCATATTTCCAGTGATAGTTTCTGCTTCAGACCAAGGGAAAATAAAACCTATTCCCAAGCCAACGGAAGCCGCCCGAACGGCTCCGGTGCCTTGGAGTCCGAGAAGGCCCGCTTCCCCACGTAGGGATACCGCGCGTCCACCTGCACGCAGTACCTGCCCCGATCTCCGACGGCCGATGCCCCGGCTTTCTGGTCGGCGCGGCCAGGTGGTGAAGGGGAGAAGTCGGGGAAGCCAAGGGCTCTCTCTAGTCTAGAAAAGAATATGTGCTATTCTGAAACGCCAAAAGGGGGAGTACGGCTGGATCTTGGGTCCATGGTATTTGCAAGTTGGGAGGTTATCCAAAAAAGCTTTGGAGCAGCTTTCTCAAACGGGCTCATTAATTTGTCCGTATGGCGTCGAGCGAATCAGCCCGTACAGGGGTGCAGTGATCCCCGCTGCAGGGAAACCAAAGGCAGCCCCGGCCCAAGTTTCTAACCCTGGCAATTTGGGCCATCTTTCAGGAACAGCGCAGCGCAACTCGGAAAGGCACAGCCACAATTGCTTTCAAGAAGACATGGAACAAAGTCGGGCTCGTCCCCTGGTCTTGGTAGATGAATCTTGGTCAGTTACCCCCCCCCCCCGGTGTCGCTTGAGTGAACGATAACCTAGAAACTTTGACTGAACCTCAAAGATGCCACTACTGAATGGCGGGACGGTCTGGCTTCGAGTTTCTGCCATGCGACTGGACTCTGACTTTTGTCAGGGGACAACTCACCCCAGTCACCAAAGCCAGCACTCTGGGACCCTGCCGTCATATTTACCCAAACGCTCAAAACCCCTTACCCACACCGGCACCCTCAACTGACCAAACTTAGATCCCACAAAGTTGATCCGCTGTACACAAACACACACACACACACAGACACACACAGACACACAGACACACACACAGACACACACACAGACACACAGACACACAGACACACAGACACACAGACACACAGACACACAGACACACAGACACACAGCCACACAGCCACACAGCCACACAGCCACACAGCCACACAGCCACACAGCCACACAGCCACACAGCCACACAGCCACACAGACTCACAGACACACAGACACACAGACACACAGGCACACAGGCACACAGGCACACACACACAGGCACACAGGCACACAGCACACACACACAGACACACAGACACACAGACACACAGACACACAGACACACAGACACACAGACACACAGACACACAGACACACAGACACACAGACACACAGACACACAACACACAGACACACAGACACACAGACACACAGACACACAGACACACAGACACACAGACACACAGACACACAGACACACAGACACACAGACACACAGACACACAGACACACACACACACAGACACACACAGACACACAGACACACAGACACACAGACACACAGACACACAGACACACAGACACACAGACACACAGACACACACACACACACTTGATATGAGACGGCAACAATGCAAGGGTGCATCCCCAAGTACCTGAAAAGTGGAGTTTCGTCAGCTAGCCTTCCCGATCTGTTCGCTCGCCGCGGCTACTCGTCAGTGCCCATGACTACCGCGACGAGGTACTAAGAAAGGGGTCGGTTTGCTGGCATGGGCATACTCCAATACAGAAAGAGAGGCACGACCGCAGAACCCCTTAGGAACAGGGGGGCCACACACACACACCCCGCGGGGGGGAAAAAGAAGAAGCCGCCTCCATCATGATTCCCGATGGGTGATTTAGTCCGTTTGTGGAACTCCTGCCTATGCTCAATTACTCGCGGTCATTTTGACATGTAGCATCACCGCCTCGGTTCAGGTGCATTGGTTCGAGATTGTTGCCTTCTGATGCTGTTCCTTCACCTTCCTGAGGCGCTCCAGGCTCTTCCAGCGCTGCGTGACACCCGCGATGGACCGGTTGAGCTTCTTGGCCAGCGATTTGTAGGAGTACTTGGACCGGTTGTCGGCTTTCAGGCTGCAAAGCTGCTGGTCATCTTCCTCTGTCCAGGCGCGAGGTACTTCCGGGGGAGTTCCTGGGTTGCCGGCATCGGAGTGAGCACGAGCAGGAGGTTCAGGAAGGGATTCAGGAGAGGAGAACAGGCCCGCGCAAGGAGAGACTGGAGCTGGCGCTGGAGTGCGGGGTGCCGGACGTACTGGAGGTTCCGGGGAATTCGTCTTCTCGGAGGATGTGTCGCGGCATCGCTTCCTCTTTGTTCTGCGTCGATCGGTCCCACCCTTGTCCATGATAGAACTGGGAATATTGGCCTTCTTGATGCTCAGCTGACCAGCATAGGCGTGCGCCATGGAGCTCTTCGGGCGCGGGTCTATAGCCTCGTTGGCGTCCCCCGTGAGGATGCCGCAGGACAACGACTTGGGGTTGGTCACTGCGCTGTGCTTGTAGTCCACGTGTAGCTGGAGCGACTGAAAGTCGACTGGTGGTGGAGGGTCGGCCAGATCCTCCGAGTTGACCGAATTCAGGATCCCGGGGCCAGGTGGTTCCACCTCATCGAAACCAGCATGATTGTGTGATCGCGGTCGCGATGATTCTGCCAGCGACAGACCTCGGACATGTTGCTGCCGCACGCGATCGTGCCCGCCATGAAGCCTGCGACTGTGTGCCTCGTCAGCCTGATTCAGAGTCTCCTGGATGAGTTGCATCATGTCTGCAGCGTTCTGGGTCATCCGGTGGTGAAGTGCTGTCATGCGTCCGAGCATGACGACCGCTTTCCGATGTCGGCGAGAAGGTCCACGTCTTGAACCACCAGATAAGCTCCGTGATAACACAAGAGTCAAGGGACCCCGGAACCCAAACAGAAAACAGAAAAGCCGAGCACGACAACCCAACCGAGCCAGACCCGGTTTGGGAGAAGACCGAAACAGAACAAAGCCAACACGAGCGGGCCACACAACCAAACATCGAAAAACAACGACAATCGGCACTCAAACGTTCTTTCCGGTTGGGATGGCCGGAAGATGAAACAGGTGCTGCAGGTCAGCTGACTTGTAGCCGGCGGACAAATAGATACTGCGAAGCTGATCCAACGCCATCTGTACTGCTCGGGCCGGGTGCGCGTACTTGGTAGCGAGGGCTGACCGTGATCTGGCCCCGGAGAGAAGGGTGGAAAGACTTCCTGCTGTGTGGGGTCCTCTGATCTGCCAGATTTTTGTTGGGGTTTTGTAGTAGATCGCACGGTCGCCCACGTCGATCACGAAGCCGAGGAACTCAGAGGAACCCACCTGTTCCAACACGATGGGTGCACCATAAAAGTCAGCTTGAAGCAACGCCTCCAATGGGGGCGGCTGGGTGACCGGAAGCCGGAGACGGAAAGATCACAAATCTGTTGTCGACATATCGCTCCAAGAAGATGTTGTGACTGGCAAACCATTGTCCGTAAATACGCTGCCAAAGAACTTCGTGCCTCGCGACGCAGATGTGACTGAGAACTGGGCTGAGCTGAGAGCCAATAGCTGTTCCGTGGACCTGGCGCAGAATGAGAGTCCCCACCTGGACATACATGCATTGGAAGCTGGATTTGACTATATCCAGGATGTCCTCCACATAAATGACCCGCGTGGTCGGCGTACGTCCGTACGACTGCTTACCCGCAAAAACCCGGTTGTGGTGGACCGCCGCCTGAGTTTCCACCGAATAGATGAGACCTGGATGCTCTCGCCGGTGCTCTGCTAATAGCTGCTCGACTGCTGCGCACACCTGATCCTGAGGGACACTGTTGAAGAAGCCGACCAGATCGTCGTTGCGAAATGCGAGGGTGACTGTATCTTCCGTGTTGTCAAAGTATTGTTTGACGTTCTGCCATATCCTCGGCGTGGGGTGTACCCCCCACGAACGCTTCCATGTACTCGCGGCGATCTCGCCTAAGAGGATTGCAACCGCTTTAAAGAGCTGCCGATGTACCACCTTATGGTAGGCTATAATAGTCCGCCCCGATTTCCATTGCTTCTTGCGTTTGAGAAAAACTTTTCCAACCGGGATCGCGGTGGTCTTCTTCCTGTATGCCCATTTGTACCTCGTCTGCAAGTGTCGGGGGATGGCTTCAACGATAAGGGCCCCAGCTTGGTCGGGCTTCAGTGGAGTGGCGGCAAATGTGCCTGACTGAAGCCAGGTGTTGTGGAGGCCTTTGAAGTAGAGTTGGGGGCAGAAGAACATGAGGTGGTGGTTGTCATGATCCTCGTTATGGCACACAAAGTCCTGGCCGAGGTGTCGATGCAAGATGTTCAGCTGGTGCTTGGTGAGGAGTTGATGGGTGGACGCGTGCTGCCGATGTGTCTGAAATTGACTGCGTAGGTGCTGCATGAGAGGGGCGTGGAACTGGTCCAGGGGCAGGCCATGGTGCAAGCACTATTTTCGTAGGCGTTCATGAACCTGCACTTCGTAAACTGAAAGGTCCACATAATATGACGCCAGGGCTGAGGTGTAATGAACGTGGTGGGGGGTTCCCGGAAAACGGAACTCATCCAATCCTGCGGCCACATGGCCTTGAACCTGAGATAGCCAGGGCTGACGTTTTAGCCAGGCTGCGCACTGACACGATGATGGTCCGGGGGATGTCAGAAGGTAGCAGTCCTGAAACGACGAGAAGTTCCACATAACTGTATGAACCCAAGGATGAGGGGTCTCTGCCAACTTCGTGCTGGGCAAGTGAAATGGAAGAGCCCAGTTGCGGTGGTCGAGAACGAGCCGACGAAGCACTTCCCTGGTGGACCGCTGATAATGGGGATGGGACAGCCACGGTAATCGCAATAACAAGTTGATCTTGGGTTGCTGAATTTGACGAAAATCAAGAACTCTTCGCAAAATATTCCGAACTCGATGCCGGTGAGGCTGTTCCACGTTGCCGGACAGCCTGTATATAGCATATATATCCAAGTCTGAGTGCCGTCCACTACGAAGTCGTTTGATGGACCAGGCTTGGGCGTGTTTGAGCGCCGCCCGATGGAAGTTCCTGCCATAGACTGTGCAACTCCTCCTGCGCAAGCGGAGGAAAAGGCGTTTGCCGAACCTGGACCAGGGCTGTTCTGCAAGAAACCTGGTAGCCGTATAGCCGGTAGAAATGCGCTTGTACCGCCGATAAATGTAGGGCCAATTGAGGGACGGCTGATAGA